TATCAAGAGTTTTTGTAATTTTTTTTTTCTTTTTTCGTTTTTTGGTTTCTAGAAATATTGTAAAGAGAACTTAAAAAAAAAAAAAAAGAATAAGGAAAACAAGAAAACAAATGATTGTAAACTAAGAAACAATAAAAAATTTAATTAGAAAATAGTGCTATGAATAATTATTGAAAATAAAATTTTTGAAAATAAATTATTGTAATAATCGTTTTGTTTTAAAAAATAATACTACAGCCCATAAAGTTTTTGTCCCTTAAATGTAATCATTATAATTGATACTCTGGTTCTTATATCCTGGTACACAGATGTTACTTCACTTCGTAGCCTTGGGTATGCCTTGGATATATATTCTTTCGAAATACGCAGGAGTATGAATTGAACCACCTATACATATATATATATATATATATACATATATGTATTTGTTTCGAGTGAATATAAAAATCTGAAATACGCTAACCATATGTCCATTCGTACTTTTACAGCCTTTTGTTGGAATGCTCAAGGTCATGGAAAGTTAGTATAAATATCTTAAATTTAGTCCACATGTATGATATTAGACAATGCCTAGAAGGTTAGGGCCATATATGGCTTGCAAATATGTTCAGAATTCGGAATGTCCCCACGTCGATCCCTTATTTTATAATTTTCTATAGGAATCCTAAAGATTAAAAATTAAAAATTAAGTGAGCTGTCGACAGTAGTGCTAATTGACGGTTAAAGACCGCGAATATTCTCAGAATATCAGAAAATTCTAAAAAATGTTAATCCAGGACAACAACTAATAAAACACTTTCGAATTTTTACCTGGATAATTCAGATGATACGTATTAAAAGTACCCAAGTCCAAATCCAATTGTTTTGATTCAAATTTCCTTTGTTTGTCTTCTCTAGAACTGGAGAAATTCATATCGTTCAAATATTAATGTTTTGATAACTTAATAAGGTTTTGGAGAAAGAAAAAATTGTTGCTTTAATTTTTGTTCTTTTTATGAAGAAAACAAAGTGAAAAGACTATAGCAAGCCAAGCCCAACTATTGAAACCTTTTCCACAGCTCTACAGACATCCTTATAACGAGTTTTCTAAATGAGATGGAAAGTTATCTGATCTGAACTACTTTTCAATACCATTTGTCCTTAGGCCAAAACCCGTCAGTGTACCTAATTTCATCAAAATATCTCAGAAATTGCGGCCGGTAGGTTGAACATAGAAGAGCAAAGCAGACGGTCTATCTCAAGTCCGTCTGGGTGTTGCATACAACTGAACACAAATTATCTACACCTGGTATAGGATATAAAACAAGCTTCCCGAATGCATTATTGAAAATGTTTGATAAAAATTATTATTGTTATGAGTAAAATTGACTACAATCATCATTTTTTTTTTTTTTTTTGCAAAAATATTTGAAAATAGCTTTCCCAGTTCTCTAAGAAAATTTCCGAAAACTTGTAGTTTTTTGCTTTGTTGTAATCAATAAGAAATTTCCAGTTGTATAACGATTTTCCTAAAGAACTTTAAAGAACTTTAAAAAACCTTAGCGCTTAAACTTAATTAAAGAGGCAGTTACAATTTTTTGGTTCATTAAGGATGGAATATGTAAACTCGCCGCCTCAACATATCGCAGGGCATCTTATGTAAAAAAATTCAAGTTCATTTATATATAAACAATATAAAAAAATAATTAGTTACAGTTTATATGCTTATCAAAGCATTGTTGAAATGCTGCGGAGTTACTACCACTATACACCTGTCTAAAGAATGCAAATTTTCGCCTTTACAAATCAGAAATATTATTACTATTATTATTATTATTATTAATTCCGCCAGAGAAATAAATTCTAAGACTAAACTCTTAAAAGCACTAGCATCTAAGGCTATCGGCTTTTATTAAAAACTCTACCGCACTTGAGATTCGAACCCACGACCATTGACTTGCTAGTCGAGATTCCTCGCCTTCGGCTACTCAGGCGGATAAAATCGGAAATATGAATTGAAGAATGCGCGAAAATTGATTGTGCTAAGGCTTTAAACTGATCTAAAGTCAAAATGCAATGAGAAGAGTTTTTTGAAGCTGTTTGAACAGGTTCAAAATCTGGCTAATTTTGTCCGATTGTATTTGCATCATATTCGCTTTGCTTAAAGCTAGATTACATTGAGCTTGCTATAGTTTTAACTGAGTGACATGGAATCTCTTAGAGAGGTCCTGGTTTTTTTTTCCTTTTCTTTATCAACCACATACGGATGTGTATTCGAAATATCCTTCAAATATCCATTAAAAACAGTTAAAGCTTAAAAAGTTAAAAAATTCAGTAATAAGTCTTTTTCACTTTCATCTGGCAGAGTTATTCTTCGAAATTCAGAGTTAGTTCAGAGAAAACGTCAAGTAAAGATTTCTTTAAAACATTTTACTTATGTATAAAGCATGTTTAACTATTCCTACTTGTGGGGCAAGAACACAAGGTAATTGAGAATTGAATTCTTCTCTAGCGAGAGAGAAAGAAATATCCGCTTAGAAGCAGGCTCAGTCCTTTTTGGAAGATATTTTACCAGTGAGTAGAACTGATCCTTTCTTTAGCGGGCAGTTCTAATCTGAATGGAGCTGATCCTCACAGAATGAGATAATTCCGATCTGAATTGATTTGATCCGCTCAGAATAAGATTAATTCCGATTTGAATGCGGGTGGTCCTCTCAGAGTAAGATTATTTCCGACCTGAATAAACTTTCTCCTTAAAGAACAACACTATCCGGCTCTGAACGTATCTGTTTTCCTCACTTTTAAAATGTGGCAACCGCTTCATCGTTTAAAACTTTACCTACAACAATTCATCGAAGTAGTCGCGCGTAATATTTCTTGCATGTATGAAATTTATTTTTTAAAAACTGAGACTCAACCGTGCCGGGATTAAGCCAAATTTTTAACACAATCCAAAACTTTGCAGAATATATTAGCTTTTTGAGCGCAATTGTTCCATCATTTATAAGATGAAGATAGAGAGAGATTCGATCAGTAAAATATTTATATTTTTGATCAGATCAAAGTACGAAAACGATTTTATTTTCAATTATTATTTCATCAGATTCAAAAGCCCGAACATTTCTTTTTCACGCATCGTAGTATTATTTACAATTTAAAGAAAATAATTTTTTTTTTTTTTTAGGTGAATAAACAAAACGAAAAAAGGAAAATAATAGGTATAAAAATGCATTAATAAAAACGATATATATATAAAAAAAAAAAAAAAAAAAACAATTAAATAAGTAAAAGTAATTTGAACAAACAAATTAAAAAAAAAAGGAGTAAATATCGAGAGAAATATTTTTGATAATTGCAAAATAAAATCTTAAAATATACATATAAATAAAAATGAATAGAGCAAAACTTATATTATTATTAGTATGGAAAATGTAAGCCAATCAACCTCCTAAAAATAAAAAAAAAATAAAAAAAAATAAAAATAGTAGGAAACGTATATTCGCTCCGAAGCGAATATTTTATATATTCCTCACCTCGGATCAATCGAGAAAAAATTTTTTTAAGTGTTCAGTCAAAACCATAGTCTTGAAGATCAACCAATACCACCTTTACAACCCACTAAGAAATGTCTGGACTAAATTTTAAATGAATATCTGCTATGGATTCCAAGCCAAAAGTGTTTTCTGGTTATTGTCGCCTCATATGGGGCTAGTCGCATAATTTTTCTACCAAAGTTTTAGGAGGGGCATGACAAATGTTTAAAATCACCTAATCTACATGATTTGATATGACTTGCCTTCTTCGTTGGGCAGTTACAACATTCGGACTATATCCGGATAATAGATGTACAAATAAATTCCTTCCCTTTTTTTGATAAAAGTTAACTTTATTTTAAATATAATTGCTACAAAGCTTGATAATCGAAATATGCAACATCGTCTATAATCATCTATGATATTTTGCCATTTATCGGGTACCTTAGGGATGCTTATCGCGGCCAAACGTTGCCGGTTTGAAAGCGAAATAGCCATTAAGCCATCTTCGCACATCTTTAACTTCTGTAAAGCACTCGCGAGGTGAATATGATTGCATCAAACTCAATAAGTGGTAATCGGAAGAGACAATGTCTAGAGACACTTCTCAGCCTAAGCTGAAAGTTATTTCCTCTTTTGTTTTTTGTGTGAGACGGAGGGACGTATGCGAATTTTCATTCTTTCAAGATTACAATTTGTTTAATAATATCTTGCAAACCACTTCCGGCAGCTTCAGTTCTATTTTTTTCCAGATTAATCGATTTGAAAAACGGGGAGAAGTTATCTATATCCGAAATTTCGATAAAGCAGAAGGCGCCAGGTGTGTTTTTTTAAAGAATAAATTTCAGCGTAAGAAATATATTTGTACATCCAACATGCGTAGAGATTTACTTTTCCATTATAAGGATAGATAAACGTTAAACCGATTTACAATCTTAGGTCGGTCAGGATTTTTTTGTATACTTTCTATGGGCGATCACTTTTACACTATTTCATGGCCCACGATTCGGTGATGAGTATTCATAAAAAGAACGGAAATATATTCAACAACTTAACTCACCTATTAAAAACCTTATAACAATAAATTTAAAAAAAAAATAAAAAAAATAACGAAAAAATTTTCAAGAGTTTTTTTCATTTTTAAGTTAAAATTCTGCAAAAAAAAGTATTTTTAACTATTTTTAAAAATTTTGTATATGGCAATAAAGTGAAAAAGAAATTTTAAAAATCCTCGAATTTTTTTCTTAAAAAATATTAATTATAAATATTTTTTTATCTTAAGAAATAAAATTGAAGAATTAGTAAATAATTGTAAAGTAATAAAAATAAAAAGTAAAGAAAGAAAAATAACTAAAATTGCTTATACTTCTAATAATAACTATAAGTTTAAGAAAAAAGGGGAGTCACTTGGTGGTCTGCTTGTGATTATCAAACTGGTAAGAAATAAAAATTTTCCTTAAAAAAAAAAAAAACAATACAAAACAAAAATTATATATCAAAATTATGTATAGCAAACGATGAAGATAACAAAAATCATCATTTTAGAAACAAAAATATCAAAAAAAAAAAGAAAACAAAAAACTAATTCTAGTAGGATTTTTTTTTTTTTTTT